ATTCACAGAAGAGAGCAACTTAGATCTTCAGCTTAAATCTTAAAGTATAATTTTGTGCATTTTTCTCTCCCCTGAATTTAACCATCATATTTAGACAATGAAATCAATATTATCTGTGTCTCCAGAAAGACAGTAGCAGATCGTCCTTAGGGCCTTTGCAAAGGCTATTTGTTCACTGTGGTAGCCCTACACAAAGTATTGTGATCACATCTCCTTCTTGAGGTTGTTATTAAATTAAACTCAGTACTCTTTGGTTTGAAAACGCCCTGTGAATAGACGATAGCAAGCAGTCAGTACAGGCTAGCTGTCACCCACATCGCTATATAATTAAACAAAGCATGAACACTGCCATACCAATGGCAGTGACTCTCTTTAGTATCATCTCTCCTATGTCGCCTAATTTCATTTCCAAATGAGCATTTCTAGACAATCTTGAAATGTGTGAAATGAAAATATAGACAGGAAGAATACAAAATTCAAGCAAGACTGAGTTCCCTACACATAAGAGAATGCTAACTTAGAGCCGGTTGGTTAAGGGCAGGCAAGTATGGATCCTCTGTAGAAAGGCTGCAGGTGCAGGCTGTGCCTGTAACTACAGCGGAGGAGGACCACTGGGCTGGGAGGCTGGGAGTCTAGATGAATGAGAGACCTTGTCTCCATCACTCAATGAGGTGGGTCGGGACTAGAGAGACTGCACAGTGGCAAGAATTCCTGCCGCACAAGCATGACAATCTGAGTTCAAAGCTCCAACACCCATGTAAAAAGCTTGGTCTGAGTTCAAAGCTCCAACACCCATGTAAAAAGCTTGACATGGCCACATATGCCATGCAAGTCAGATGAAGGAGAATTGCTGGAGTTTACTGACTTCCAGTCTAGCTGCAGGTTCCGTCAGAGACATTGCATCAGCGGAATGAGACAGAGTGATATAGCAGGACACCTGAAAGCCTCTTCTGGCTTCTGACCATCAGGGGCACACTTATCTCACTTATCTGCACATACATATACAGATAATCATACATCACACATACACCCCCACACACAAAGAAAGTGAAGGGGAAATGATTTGAAAAGAAAACTAGAGTTGACTCTGGCCTCTACACACACACACTAGGAAGACCTTCAAATGCCTACAACATACACAAAAGAATGCCAACATTTAATAAGAGGTAACGGAAAAGCTTATCAGATGTATTATTTAACTACTACCAGTTACTTACGATAATAATGTCATAAGCTATTTCGTCTTCTAGTTACCTACAACTCAGTGCATGTTGTAGTTTGGCCGCCTGATGTCTGATATAAGCTAGAATCAGCTAGGTTGTTCTATTTTAAACATGGATTTCTTAAGTTTGACTTCAGACTCTCCTTTGGGTCGAAGGCTGTTCTGCCTACTCCCCATTCTCCTTCTGCAAGGCATCTTCTTCCCACAGCAAGAGATGGATGCACAGGACACATATACAGTTAAGCAGAACATTTGGGTATTGCCCGCTTGCATTTCCTTCTCCACGTCCAGTCAGATGGCCAAGCCCAGCATCCATGGGTGTTAATGTTTTCGACTCACAGAGGGAGGACATTGACATTGGAATGATCCTGTTATGGGGGACTAAAGATTTAGAACCAAGGATTTAGTCTGTAAAGTGCTGTCCTTGAACTTGCTTGTATCTGAAAGGCTGAAGGACTGCATATAAGAAAAGCCATCTGCCTGCCAGCAAACAGTACACATCAGACTGCCTCCCCAGTAGCAGCTGTGGACTTCCCTTTCTTTTCCTGTTTCTGTACACAGCTTGGGGAAGGAACTCAAAATATCAGGGTAACACCGCGTGGCCATAACGTTGGGATTCTGCCCTTGCGATCCTCCCTCAATACAGAGTTAGACCCGCAGAGAAGTCCTGTCACAGCCCAGCCAGTGGCAGGCTCCATCTTCTCATATGAACTCATGCTGCAGGGGGACCCCCCCTCATTTTATTCATGTAAACTTTATGAAGTATACTCTTGCAAATAGCACAGGCTTAATAAATATGGATTAAAAGATCGAGGGTCAGAAATAACGCTAGAGAAGTAGGAAGGATTCAGCAGCAGAATTCTTTCTGGGTATTCCGTGTTTCAGCATGGGAAAGTAAAATGTCCTGTCACACACAACATAAAGGCGGTGGAAATTTATCATCTCGAGTGAATAAATGATCCTAAGTGCATATTAACTGAGATAATTCAGCTATCTGAAAGCTTTTATGCGAATTATTAAAGCTAACCAAATAGCCCGATGCATCCCTTTAGGTATTGCTTCACATCTATTGTAACCCTTCTAAAATCCCTTCTAGAAACCACCAGTTTATATGCCCTTCCCCACTTAACTTTTTATCGTTTATATGTTTCCTGTGAAGATAGACAGACCAAGCTGTTCCTTACCAAATGCTGGTGTAACTGAGTGATGTGACTCCCCACCCCCATCCCTCCACACACGGGCAGACAACTAACCCCTTGGAAGCATTTAAAATGGATGGGAAGATAGAAGGCAGCCAAGATGTCCTTCTAAAAGACAGCCAGATGCATGCTAGTCTAATTGCCCAAGAGTGCACGGTGGGCTTTGAAAGCAAGCCTTCTGCATTGGCGCCCCCTGCTGGATTTGAGCGTGAATTGTCTCTGAAATTAAAAACAACCTGAACCTTTTCAGCTGAGGGCACGCTTGCTAGCTTGCTACTCAAGTGGCAAATCCAAGCCTACTTCTAGGATGCGTTTCTTCCATGATAAACACACCGTGAAGTCTGTGAGCTAGCTTCCCAAGAGCAGAAACACCCAAATAGAAAAAAAAAAAAAACAAAAAAAACAAAAAAAAAAAAAAAAAAACAAAACTACCAGTCGAGACATAAGATAGCGAAGAAAAGCGTGCCGCTGAGATGGCCGGTGTTAGGGAGATGTCTGCACGGGAAGGCCGAGAAAACCCAGGTCCACCTGCAGGGCAAGCCCCTGGGCGAGAGCACTGGGTTTAGGAGTCCGAACGTGAATCTCTGAAAAGAGTTCTGCACATCCCTGTTTCTTGTTCCTTTCCTCGTCCGTCTCTCCCTGTTAAGGACACTGTCTGTCCTCACTCCCTAAGGGACACAGGAACCAGACTAATTTTGAAGGCAGCCTGTCACCTACAGACTTCAGACCTATTATGAAATCTGTGTTATGAAGTCTGTCTGTTGGGGAATAGCTGGCAGTTTTCTCTCCCTGCTCCACTCAGCCCATGTGGTAGGGAGGAAGGGGGAGAGGTAATCGCTAAATTTTTGGCACGTGCTCTCCCACCAACTTGGCCTTATTAAGGGAACAAGAACAACCATGGTGGTTATTTCCTCCCAAGAGAAAACAAACAAACAAACAAAAACCCGGTGCTGTCACCCTCAGGAAGAGAGCACTGCAGAAGCTGCGTGGTGCTTTGGAATACTTCACTGGCAGCGGTGGGTTTAAAAAGCCCCCCAGCTTCTCATATTCAAAATTGCTTGGTGTCCCTCGCGTCTGATGGCAAAGCAAAACAAACTGAGTGGATCCTGATGTATTTAGGTAGTCACTGACTGCGCTCTTCTCCGGGGGTTGAAGCTGTCAGGAGGATTGTTTTTCAGAGTTATCTTGGTAGAGGCTTCTCTGCGAGCGTGGGGAGGAGTCTCATACTCCTGCCTTTGTATTGGGAGGCAGAGTAAAGCTAAGCCAAGCAGCACAGTGCAGGCCTGTCGTCCCTCTCGGCACACAGGAGACAGGAGCATGAGACGAACAAGTTCAAGGCCAGACTGGGTACCGAGTGAAACCCCGTCTCAAAAGCCCAAATCCAACCAGAGAAGAATGAATGGTGGCAGATGACGGTGCTCAAAATACTCTAAGCAAATACATGTTAGTGGCTTAGGCCTTCTTAAGGGCCAGGGATGGAGAGGGCTCAGTGACCTTGATCCCATGTTCCTTTCTGTCCGGGGGAGTCTATCCAGGACTGTCTTGCAGTTACTGCTCTTTCCAAAAGGAGAAAGCAGAAGCTGTCATTTTGAGAATAGCTTAGAAGTCTCAGGACAGTATTCCCACTTAACAACTCCTTGGTCCAAACAAGAGACACCACAGGTCACATTCACACAGAAGGGGGCTAGGTGGCATTCCCAGACAGATGGCCATGTGGCCATCTATACTCCGTATTGTCAGCTTCTGGTTTTCAGTTTTCTGTATATTGCTATGTTTCATGTTCTGCTCCTATGTCTTTATATAAGGTAATCATTTCTATTTCCCTTCCATCAAAAGTGTTTTGGAGATCTCCCCCAAATTAATTATAAAGTCAGGCCTTTACTTGCCCTTGGAAATATATTTTCCCTACCCGTGAATTCACAGCTAGAACATACTTTAAGACATAAAAATAATTAATCGCACGCAGCCAGTCTCCACTGCAACTGTCATTTATTTGATTTTTTTTCCAGAGCTATACAATTGATCAACATAATGAATTCAGAACAAAAAAAAATTTCATAGCATTGAAGTGTTAGGCCGCTGTATACGAGATAAGTGAAAATAAAAATTTGGAAGCACACATCTAACAAAAGCATAAAAGGCATAGAAAATCAGCCAAGCTCCATACCCTGAGAATTCTACTTAATTCAAAGCAGAAGAGGAGATTGGAAGTGAAACGTGTTTGGCATTTTTGGAAATGGCCAGCAGAGAGAGAGAGAGAGAGAGAGAGAGAGAGAGAGAGAGAGAGAGAGAGAGAGAGAGAGAGAGAGAGAGAGAGATATGTTTCCGGCACCACTGAGTGAATATTGTTTACTCTATCGTTCCCCTAGCAAATCCACGGAGAAGGGACGGGTATAACTGTGCTTGTGTATGTGGGGGATTCTCCTGTTTCACGCCCCTGATTCCTCTGTCTGCTGTGCTTTGCAGGAGTCATGCTATGTTGGTTGCAATTAATTTCGGTGTTGCATATTAGCCATAAGGAGATATTTCAGCCACTGATTTGATTTTTTTTTCTTCTCCCCCTGTGGTTTTCTTGAAAGATGAGAGTGGTCTGGAGGAAAAGCCAACTGCGGGAGAAACGGAAGGGCAGAGCCAAGAAGCAGGTGGGCTCAGGTTTCTTTTGAGGAGTCTCCTAGGCCTCATCCACAGAGGTGAACAACAACTTTCCTCAATGTTATTGCCTGAAAATGCTTTGTGCCCTTTTCCTTGATTAACCCCAGTGTTCCCTCTTCTCTCCAGTCTCCTTAACTCCAAGTTGACAGAGCTCCTATAAAGAACACATGCTCTTACTCACCCCTCCACTTTCCATTTCCTTCATGTAATAACAGAGGGCTTAGGGATGCACTGAGAACTGCGGGCCAAAACGGGAACCACAGCATCAGACCTTGGATGACTTAGAGCAGACTGAGCCAAATGGGGGGAAAGGAAGCTAGATCTATTTGAGGAGAATGAAGAAAGGCTTTCTCTCCACACTGGACGGGACCTTTCTCTTGCTTTTAATTTTGAAGAGTCATGTGGCTGGCCATTTCTCTGCAGGTTGTAGATAGTGCTGTAGAGCCCTCCCAACCTCTCGCTTCTAACAGCTCTAAGATCAAAAACCTTCTTGATATCACCCCGTTAAGAAAAGACAGCTGTGTCCATCAAATATTTATAAATTTTACACTGTAGAGTATACTTTTAGCTTTTTAAAATAATAGCCTTGAGATTCAAAAGGGATTGAAATCACCTTCGAATTATCACATACACACACACAGTATTCACAATATTTCTGTCCTTAGGAATTTTTATGGATTCTGGCATTATTGCCAAAATATAAATACTCCCTTTCCCTTCAATCTCCAAGTTATTTACCCTGTTCTATTGAGTCCCATAGGGGAACATTTTTTTTAAGAGTGGGCTCTATTTCCTATGCCAGCCACATCCTAGTCCACATGCTGAACTCTCAGAATTAGACCAGGTAATGTGATAAGTTTTTCCACCACATTGCTCTTGGGAGTTCTTGGAGTATTCTTGGAAGGCAAACTCTTTCTCTTTTTTTTTGGTTATTCAAGACAGGGTTTCTCTGTGTAGCTTTTGGAGCCTATCCTGGAACTCACTCTGTAGACCAGGCTGGCCTTGAACTCAGAAAGATCCTCCTACCTCTGCCTCCCAAGTGCTGGGATTAAAGGAATGCACCACCACCACCCAGCAGAAGGCAAGCTTGTATTAGTAACTTGGAAGATAGACATGCAGAAAGCTAATCAGAGGAAGCATTGAAGCAAGACAGGAAGGATTCTGCATCCCTGTTACAGGATCACCCGGCTCCCTTTGCTGAAACATGGCCCTTTCCTCAGAACAGAATGAATTGCTGGTACTGTCAACTGTTCTTGTCCAACCGTTGCAAGGCTACCACACACACACTGCACTGTATTGAAGATACAGCTTACATGGAAAGCTCTCGCTGTTTTTACTGATTCGTCAGTTAACTGTTGGCAACCAAGACCATACATGATCTGACTGTAGAAGTTCTATAAGTTTTGTTCACTCCATGTTCTGTTCCTTGCTGTCTTTACCAATATTGATCTTTCTCCTGTCACTGCGCACACACACACACAAACACACGCACACGCACACACGCATGCACACACGCACAGAGGCACACATAGAGACACAGACAGACAGACTGACACACCAGTGCCATTCTTTCCCTCTAAATCAGTTGTTTTCTGATAGTTTCATTTTGATTTTATGACCACCTTCTGTGAGCTCAGAGTGCAAAAGTCTGAGTCTTCTTCGCCACCTCTGGGATATAAAAAGCATTACCACCCAAAATGGCTGCCTCTTGACCTTTTACCACGGGGTCTCCTCTGTGTTCCTCAGTGGCTCCTCTGCTCATCCAAGACAGTGGGATGACTGACAGAGTCTAGCAGCAGGGTTAATTCCTGATTCTGTGGCCAGTGTCACTAGATGCTCCTCCATTCATTTTGTCATTTTGCAGCCTCCTCACTCAGATGACAATTGAACATGTGGTTCTGGTTGGTAAAGCCCCTTGACCCGCTGTTAGTTTCCAAAACAAAAACATCCTGCTTTCCTTCAGCATAGTTTCCAGTGCCTGGGTTGATTGCATAACTCCGCAGGTCTCTGCCACATGATGGAAAAACACGATCTCAAAATAGCATAATTTACAGGTTCTGACAGCTGTCACCATCAGATCAAATACAACAGCCTATAGTATTTATCAAGAATCAATAATAAATCTACATTGAAGGTTTATTGCCTCCCCAGCATTGCATGTGCATTGCAAATATTTCAATTCATTCTAAAAACAACTGAGGGAATGTTGCTTAAAATGAGCTCTAAATGCTGAGATGGTGAAAGATCACTTTAGATGCAGAGGGCAGATCATAAATTGGCCTCACAATGTGGGGGAGATGCAGTGTGACTGGAGTAGGGTGGGCTCAAGAGATTAGAGCGGGAGACATGGTAAGACATCGTAGGACCAGACTGGGTCTGACAGCATGTCCTTTGACTTGACGACATAGAGAACTCAGTGGAAGGTTTTAAATATTGGAACCAATGATTGATGTATTAATGAACTCATTTTGCCCATGAATGAAAATGGGTCCAAAGGGGTAGAGTTAGAAGATGACTACAGGAAAGCAATGACAGATGATTCTGGAAATGGAGACAAAAAGGCTGAAATGTGGCACATTCTAGAAATAAGAAGTAACAGGGTACACAAGCTAAAGGGGCTGGATGGGATGCATTGGAGAAAGAATCCTACTTAGGTCCTAAGAGTATAGCTTCCATGTCTGAAGGGACAATAGGGCCACTTGACTGGAAGACATTTTGTTGGAAAAGTTAACAGTTTAGTTTTTGCATCAATAAATTTGGAAAAAAATGTACAGCCATCCGTATGGAATGTCATGTTAGATAAACAAGTTCACATGCAGGGGATGTGAACACTGCATTTAAAGCTTTAGGAGACACAACCATTTGGGGGTTATTTAAAGTCTGGGAGTAGAAGGCTATTGGGTTAGAGAATATGCAAATGTCAAAGGCAAAGGAGCTGGGGTGTCACTGACATTTAGACCCCTGTGAGGAAAAGCAGAAGCAGCCAGAACAATGACATGGCTTTGAAACAAACAGGAAGGGGCTGGGAAATGCTATTGAGAAGTCAAGTCAGACAGACAGGGAGAATTCGTCAAGTTAAAAGTGATGGCAACAGAGAGGGAAGCTGAGGCAGGAAGAAGGCAAGGTCAAGAACTGTTTGGCCACGTAGGAAGACCTGCCACGTAGGAAGACCTGTCTTGAAAACAAAGGCAAAGAAAGCAATGCAGGAGTGGTGGTGGTGGCAGTCTTTAGATTGTCACAGGAAGGATGCTAGCACCTTAGGTGAGGGAGTTAGGAAGACCGCTGGACAAGCACTTGAGTGGCGTATGCAAAGTTTCAGAAGTAAAGACAGTAACAAAAGCTTTTCTCAGGGAGTTTTGTTCTGAAGGGAGAAGAAAATGGGAAAGAATTGTGACCATAAGGGAAGGTTAACGGTCTGTGTGATACAGGCACACACACACATGCACACTATCCATCTTCTACAGATGTTATTCTCTGTTCCAAGAGAGATGCAACCTAAAAGTAACAACCATATATAACAGACAAATGACATGCCAGAAAATAAGAACATTTCCTCGAATTATGTATTTTCTCTTTATGTCTGTGGCTGAGTAACTATAAGAAAACCGTGTATGTTGTTTTATCTATTGTAAGATGCTTTTTAATAAGTTCTTGGGTCTGAATTCTACTGTTTTCATGGTAGTAGCTAATTATCTAGCATTGCAGAGGCCAAACATGAATTAAATCCCCCTGACTCTGAGGAGACCAGCCGGAGAGATCATCTCTGACCGTCCTTGGTTGTTACTGTGAAGGGGACAGAGTCCTTCCTGTCCTTGGTCCCCATTCTTTAACTGGGTGATATGAAATCCCCGTATGTCTATACCCTATTTTGAGTGCTCTCCTTCTCCTGGACTACAGTGCTGGCTGCTATGGAAATGCTCTGTCCAGCTGGACAGCGAGTGGATTGGCCATCCTGGGAAGTGCTGAGCTTAGAAAAAGCCAACTAAAAATCACGCATATGGGGCACTTTGTAGAAATTTGCATGGATGTATATTACCACACACCACAAAAAAAATCTGTGGGTTTTTTTTTTTGCCTTTAAACTCTTAATTTTCTTGCTTTAGACATCTAAGTGCTATAAGGAAGCAAAATACAACTGCAGTTGCTGACATAGCACAGCCAACAGGCAGTAGTTTTCACCAGCTCACGTTTTGTAGTTCATTGGCCTCTGTCTCACGTGAAGATTTATGCTTCATTAATGATAAAAAAAAATGCATCACAGCCCTCTGCCCGGGAAGACCATTTGGTGTGTGAAGGACATTGACATCTTCATTGGTTGGGCGGAGAGGGAGCTGAAGGAAAGGAAAAGCCACAGCCTGAGGTAGTAAGCCTGAGACAATGTTTTCTCTGCTTTATAGATGGTGTCAGCACGGCCCCTGTGCCCAGTCCTGCTTCAGAAGGCACAGTTGAAGTCCATCAGGATGAAGGTATGAGACCACACCCAAACTCCACAGACCCTTACAAGGAAACTGTGTAGGTTTTGTTTATGTGGGAAACTGAAGCAGCAAACAAACTCGAGTCTCTTAAGTGCCTCTATTTGGAACACAAGGATCCCACCCACTCTGCTCCATCCCTTTCCACATCGAGCCTCTTTAGAGTCTATATATACATTTACATGTGTTCCTCTAAAAATAATGTTTATAAAATAAGTGCAGGAGCAGAGAAAGTACGGTAAAAGAAAAATGTTTATCTGAAACTCGGGAATTTGTCGATTCTGTTATTTGTCATTCTCATCGGGCATGCGTGTCAAAAAGTGGCATTGACACCCATCAAAGGCCTGGCAACTCAGGAAGTATTCAAAATATTTGAAAGGCATCCATAAAGATAGACATGAGGCAAAGTGACCATTCTATGGACCATCACTAAGAGAAAATGTGGCTGACCAAAGTAAACCAAAAAGAAAAAAAAAACTAGGAGAAATTATTACTGTTTTAGGGATAAGTGCTGAGACACAGGGATGCAAATGGCTTTTAAAAAGAATCATAAAAGAAAATAAAATCTTCCTTTCTCTCCTCTCCCTCCTGATTGGTGGGTAAGTCTCCCCAGGAGATATAATTTGTGATGTCTGCCATTAGCAGCTACTAAAGCCCAGTGTGACTGATAGACTAGACTATTATATTTGGGCAAATGGTGTCTTGTAAACCATATCATCTACTTGGAACTTCAGAATGTACTTTGAATCTGTTTCTTCAGTCAGATGTGATGTGAAAACAGGTGCACATTGCCACTAAGCCTTGCTATCCTTTGAATCTGTTGAGGACATCAAAATAGCACTGCCATTTTAATACTGACTAGACATATACAATTCCATGCCCATTTCCTGGTCAGTTTTTGTTTTAATCACATGTAGTTGATGTCAGTTGATCAGAGTACCAATAATTGAATTGGACACTGGAGGCTTGATCCCAGCTCTGCTGCCAGTTGCTTAGCTAAATTGTGACAAACAGTTCAAGTCACAAACAAGTGCTTCACAAGCAAATCCACAGTGAACTTCTTGGGTATCAGTTTTTCCTTCTGAAGTGCAGACAAGAATAATGTCTATCTTAGGGCTCGGTGCATGAAACAGTGGGTAGAAGCACTTTCTGTGCCTGCATGAGCTGAGTTCAGATTCCAAGCACCTAAACCAGTGGTGGTGGCACATGCTTGTAATCATTACACGTAGGAGTCAGAGGCAAGAAGATTAAGAGTTCAAAGCCAGCATCAGCTACACTGCAAATCTGAGGCTAGTCTGGGCTAGATGAAACTAGGTCTCAAAAGCTAAAAAACGAAAGAAAAAAGGAAAGGAAGGAAGGAAGGAAGGAAAAAAGGAAGGAAAAAAAGGAAGGAAGACAGAGAAAGGAAAGGAAAAAAAGAAAAGAAAAGAAAAGAAAAGAAAAGAAAAGAAAAGAAAAGAAAAGAAAATGAAGTGATAAAACAAAACCAAACCCACTAAGTCCCAGTCACCTATGTACAGGCACATCTGTAATCCTAGCACTGAGAACAGCAGATCACAGAGTGAGGCTCACTGACTACCAGATGAGCTTCAAATTAAGGGAGAGACCCTGTCTCAAGAGAATAACGCTAAGAATGGTAGAGGAGGATGCTTGGTGAACTCCTTTGCTCTCATACACACACCTATGTACACACCTATCACGCACACACACACGCAGCGCTCAGAAGATAATGCCCACCTCACAAACTACAACACAGGTACTTTTTCTAGCCAAATAGATCAGACTTTCCAGAAACACAGACTAAATTAGAGTATTAGGAAGTGGCTTGTTTGTCAGAGAGATAACAACTCCCTTAATAGAAAAAGGAAGGGGGCAGAACTGGCTGAGAGAGGTCCTCCGTGCACTGTCAGGAGGGATCAATCCCAGCTGACATTTTGGGAAGCTCCAAAGATGTACCTGCAATAGATTCTGGTACTGGCTCTCCTGGGATGTATACGGCTGTGAGTTTCTTTCTATTGAAGTATTTGTGGAAACCAGGGATGGATGGCATCTGCTGGTGCCTGGGAGAATCATTGTTTCTTCCCAAAGGAGCTAGGAATGAGCCAACAGAGTGTCCACCACACTGCTGTCATCTTGAATGATCCTTTTTCTTTTTATTGCCACTTTTCAAATGACACTTCCTTTCAAACTATGTAGGTGTATGTTCAGGTATCTCTTATTTCAAAAATATTTGACATATCTAAAAATGTAATTTGTGTCAGAATTCCTCAGAGATTTCTTGAGAAACTCAGTCATTTTACAGAGAAATAGACTGATCGGGTAAGAGAAAAGATAGAAAATGGCACCTATTTTAAGCAAAAAAAAAAAAAAAAAGGACATCTCAATCATTTAGTTTATCATAAGATGTAAAAGCATCATGAAATTGAATGACAGAGTCTAAGAAGGAAGGAAGAGGAACAATCTAATTTAAGTGCTTCAAGCTGAGATTTCTTGCTGTTGAGTTGTTTAGCTGGGAGACATCACACCTTCATAAAACACACTGCTTGTGATATTTCTTGATGCTTTTAGGATCTCACACCATTAATTGCTCATGCAGGGATCAATTATTTTTCAGAATACTTTTAGGATTTTTCCCCTAAAATAAGACTTTTAATGGTGTTAACTCCATCAAAGAATTGTCGTGTATCACAAATGTAGTTCCTTTGTGGGACTAAATGTGAAGATTTAAGGGATTTTGATGAAATACATTGTTAATTTCCATTAACTTTTTTTATTTGGAAAATGTGGGTTCTGTGATCTACTTTAGTATGTAGTGTGGTTTCATCTAACAGTAGAGCACATAGGGCGAGGATTTCGTGTTCATCTTCTGAAATAGCATTCCTATAAGGGCACGGCTTTTAAACGGGTTATCTGTTGAGAGCTCAGACTCTGGGGCTTGCCAAGCTGTCATCAAGATTGACGGATGCACAGCTTAGAATTAAGAAAAAGAATTTTCCATTGAAATCATCCAAGATTGAGGTCAAGCTGAGGTTAAAAGGAAGTCATAAGTGTTCAGGATTCATTTCAAATCTTTTCTGTTATTAGCTTTCATGCAGAAATATCTGTCCTTGGTGACACCAGGGCTATTTCAGAACCTCACAGTCATAAGATCGCTTAGAGAAATGCTCATGACACTCTCCAGGGTAAGTGGCAGAACATTTTTCGCTGATCAAAGGTCATAAAGGACCCCTTGTTCTCTTGATTTTTTTTTGAAAACTTCATTCCCAAAGGAGCATCTTGTTGGGGCCTTGGAATCACCCATGACCTGACATGGCCAGGTTCTCGGTATCGTGGGCATCTCAGTATGATGCCCATGGTGCTTGTGCCATATTCAGTGTTGACAGTTTTGCTTGTCAGTTGGAAGGGTTTACATTTGTGAAGATTTTAGTCTCCACTGGAAGTTAGCATCTTCTCGAGGAAAGGTTGAAAACAAGTGAAAAAAAAAAAAGGTGTCTGTCTTTATTCCTGGAACAGAAGGTATTATTTTTTTAACCAAGCAGTTACGTGAAAGTTGAAAGAGATCTCTAGAAGTGTTAGAACTTAACTGTCATCTGCAATAGTGATTCTCCTTAAGCCCCGCCGACAAACTCCCCACTAGAAAGCAAGTCTGGGCGCTCTCGCCCACTTACTCCACACCACTGTTGACTGGGCAGGTGATGTAGCTATCTGCTTGCAGATCACGGCAGACTGCAGTCCAGACACTGACGACACCTGTTCAGTGAGTCATTGCAGCTGCCAAGTGGGCGGGAGGTGAGCGGAGAGGATGAGATTTGAGGAGGAGGAACACTGACGAGTGCCTCATCTACACGGTGTAGATGCCAGAGCCAGGCCTGATATGAAATTCACTTCAAGGGGAAGCTGCCCTGGGAAAAAAAACCGTGTCACTGGATGGGCATTGGAGATGATTTTTTAAGATAGGACATGAACGTATCTATTGAGGAATTCTCCCTTTATTCTATGGTGCTCTTTTTAAAGGATTTTGCACTTTAAATTCTGAAAAACGATTTCTGTTTGAGTTAACAAACACGTAGACCATCAGGTGAAAGTCCATAAAACACAGGGTTCAAATGCACAAAAAGCTGGTACTGTGCTCAAAAACTTCCAAAGAAGTGATAATAATATTAAATGTACAGGTGTTTGGCTCCTTAGGTCGGGGAGCAGTCTCTCTCCTAACTGTCCCCATGTTTGTCATGTCATCCTCATCCACTCCACGACACCTTACTCGGGAGCGGGCGGAGGGAATGATGTACAAACACATCCGGATTCACCTGCCTTATTATTTAATCAAGTACCTAATTTGAATTTGAAGGTCAACTAGACCAAATCATAGGCTCATTAATATTGAAATCAAAATCAATTAATACCCAGGTGCACACCCGAGCTGTGTCCCTTCGGAACTCCATGAAAGTCACACCAATGCTTTTTGGCATTTTGAAGGTAGAATGTCACCCGAGAAGGGATTTCTGAACCCTTTAATCTAGCTTGAGACTTCATGCAGGTCAAAATGACTGGAGAAAAAAGGAAATCTGGATTGAGATCAGCCATGGTAACAGAGCCAAAAAGGGAAGATGCGGTCATGGATGAGGAAGCTATGGTTAAGACATGATGATCATTGGTGGTGCCATATTATCATTGTTAGCCTGCCAGGGAAGCAGAACATTGTGCCACCCAATAAATTACTCTCCACCTTAATCTACCTTTTGTCAGTCCTCTTCCTGTCCTTATTGTCCACCATTCTCTCCTGAGAGCTTCATCCTGATACCCACCCTAGCTGGAACAAAACTGTACCCTGTTCCACATCTGCGTGGATAGAGGGTCTGGATTCATTTTGGTCCATCTCAGCTACCCACTTTTGGCTTGTCAGTCTTACTAAGCATTGCTGGATGGCTGCCTCTGGTCCGTCAGTGGAGGGAAAGGAACTGGGGCAAACAGCATGTGTCCACCATTCACTGTTT